AAAAATCAAATAAAAAGAAAACAAAGAATAACAAGATCAGATCTTCTTTTTTCCGCTATTGTTTTTGTTAAACTTCTTCTTTTTCTTCTTTCCTTTCACACCTCCTTTGGGATTGAAATCATCCAACAAATGAATAGCATCAAGCTCCATTTTAGCCTCTAGAGTGTAAGAATCTTCATCATCAACAGGAAACTCAATTTTGTCATGTGCCATTTCAGAAACCTCAACTCCCCCGTCCTTTTGCCTCTTATGATCTTCTCCATTCATCCCAAAAGACATATCAATGAGGCTGATTTGTGGGGAGCGTTCATAAATTAGCTTCAAGTCTAAAAGGCCCAAGGGTTTGGTGGTAACCGACTTTGTTTGAACTGCCTCCTTATGGAATGCCAATGCTTTCAATTCCTTAAGAGACATACCTCGTTGGAGACCCCCACTGTATGCCTTTTGCTCTGTTTCCATTGTCAACTCTTTCAATTCCTTGACAGATTTCCCTTGCTTCAAAACTGGAATAGAGGGCTGGAAAGGTAATGCATGAATGTTTAAAGCTCTGGTCGTGTGGTTCAATGGAGGCTCATTTGAGCAATTAGCATTAAGACCCTGCTTACATTCATCAAAAGGGGCAGAAACTGCCTGCTTAGAAGGAGCTGGAGTTGCAGAAAGTAGGGGTTTTTGCAAAGCATCTTGATCATCAATTGGAAAGGATTGAGTAGCATTGACACCATCTGAAAAAAGCTCTAAATTTGGAGAAGACTGAGTTGAATTTAATACCAACGACCCCTCCTTGGCTGCTAATGTTGAAATCGGTTGGATGGCTATAGCACCACTACTAAAAGAGAGGTTACTGTGAGTCCTTCCAATGTCAGAATCAAACAGAGATTTAGAAATGGATGAAGGGATAGAATGAGGTTGCTCCTCACCTATAGACTTATCCTTACAGTTCTCAAGAGTATGACCAGCCTTATTAAGGTGAGCCAAGAATAGTCTAAATCCATGTCTGCAAATATCCTCAGGTACGAAAATGGTAGTATAGCCAAACAGGTGTTCCTCAACAATTTTAACAAAAAAACCAGATGCATTCGAATCTAGGGAGAATCTAAAATTTCTACTACCCTCCCTAAGGCTCTGATTCCAAATTGTTACCACCGGATTAAGTAGAATATATTCAAAGCAGGAACTTAACGAGCGAAGAATTCTAAGATTTGTCCAGAAACGGAAGGTTTTCCATCGTCTTCCCTCAGAAATTTGACATAGATTATTAAAGGCTGAAAATCTGAACTCAAACCTTTTCAATTGGATTCCAAAGGTGAAATCGACGATTGTGCAGCTCGAACATCCATCTATGTCCTCCTTTCGTTTCTGCCAGTCTCTTCTTCGAGTATTCCTCACAAATGTTGGTCTACCTTGTATTCTTCCTTCTCCGGCGACCTTGAAATTGGATGTGAAACCCCAGCGACGGTGGTGAGATCTAGACCAGGCGGCGGAGCTTTCTATATATATATATATATATATACATACATACATATATATATATATATATATATATATATATATATATATATATATATGGTTGATAGGATCTGAAGTTTAGGTTCTAATTTGAAATGTCGTCTAGAGTTTGGGTACTAACGAGGAAGTTTACCCTCTTCCTTCATTGCTTGAATGTTTGAGAGATTAATTTATATTCCATGGGAGATCATTGTACTGCACCAACCTGCTCTTGTGAGAGTAATTGTATTGTTATTTTATTTCTTTCTTTTGAGAAAGGGTTTAAACATCTTAACACTAGAATTATGTCAAGTGGGTTGGTAGAGATCATATTCATTGTGAAATGAAATGTTAGGTGGAAGAAATCTCAAGTCTTGTAAAATCAAGGCTTCGGTGAAAAAATAAGAGGGCTGTGAAATCCAGTTCTCGAGTTGTATCACATTGTAAACTTCGTTAAATTTGACAGGATGGTAGTGAAGGCTTGGACAAGGGTGTTTGTGGTATGGATGTATGCATTAGGCTGAACAAGTATATATAACGTATTTCTTATTATTTTTCTTCACGTTCTTATCTGTGCGGTGCATTGGTTTTGATCAAGATTTTGTCAGAAATGCTTCCGTGAAAAATCAATCATTTGGGCAACATCTCTATCCTCACCTCTAGAATCTATAATTATGTTTTTAATAGACTCATCTATCTGCTAGCTGATGTTGTAAAGTGTTAGATATGTATAGAGCCTAAACGAGAAAAAGACGCATGGGAATGTAGATAGCCTTCAACCTTAAGAAATGATGAAGACTGCCCAAATCCTTAATACTAAAAATTGGCGAGAGAGCATAAGAATAAATTTATCAATGAAGGCAAGAGAGTTCTAAGCATCAAAAGGATGTCGTTACCCTAAACAATAAAGTTCTAATAGCTTCACAATCCTAGCACTACTACAAAATAGGTAAAAAATCACTCTAGCATCAGTTATTTCTTAAGAACTGATTCAAAAAACCTTTGTATTATTTATTAATTTATTCTACTAAAGCTTTGACATTGGTTGTTAGGGAACAAAGGTTTTTGCATCGAATCTTCCCTAACAAGCGATGTAAAAGGCCTAATGAAATTTTTCTGATTTTCAACTCATCGATCTGCATAAGTGATTTGACGCTCTTGATTTATCTCGTTCACTGATCGATAATCCGCACAACATCTAATGCAAATTTGAGATCTAATTTTCTATTTCTTTCTTCATTTTCGTCGTCATCATCAGATCCTCCATTCTCACCCCTCTTCTTTGATCTTTTTCTATTTATTCTTCTTCAGTCACCTTGCACCCCCTTTTTCTGTCCTTATTAGCCCCTACCATCTACCTCATATTTCTTTCATTGTTAGCCCCCAAATCCCTCTAGGTCGCTACTAACTTGGAGTAAGGAAGGAAATTCCATCAAATCTAGGGTGATAGAAGATGGAAGCTTACTGCCGATAACATGAAAGATTGAAATCTTGTTATCATTGATATTAAGCTTGTTGTTATTATACGTTGTTCGTAATTACTTTTGTTGCGATTGTTCATTCAATTTATCAAAGTTCTTGCTATTTTTCATTGTATTTGCTTGGACTTCTTCTTATTTATTGTCTATTTTTAGATCTTTCTTGTTTGTTATTTGTTTGAAGATCTTGTTCATATATCTTCTTGTTGTTGCTGTTAATTGTTGCATACTAGGTTTAATTCGACGTGATCTAAATTTAATTTTTTAACAGAGGGAGCAATTGCATCAGCTATTAGGTAATAACTCATGCAATTGTTATTGATTGCATCGAGTGTTACCTAATAAATGATGCAATGGTTCCTTTATTAAAAAAATAAAAACTACACATCAGTGGCATTGGTTATTACATAATAACTGATACATGCCAATTGCTATCAATTACATCAGTTATTACATCGTGCAAATTAACATGGGATAAAAACTGATGTAAATGGTCCAAAATGTTGAGGTATATGTTGTTCCCGAAGTAACCACTAAACTGATGTAAATGGTCCAAAATGTTGTGGTACTCTTAGAAAATCAACCCAATCTGGTCTAGCCTAAGTTGAGGCATATGTTGTTCCCGAAGTAACCACTAAGACCTTAAATCTAAAGAAAAAGAATTATTATGAAAATAGTTCCTGACAAATAAAGACTTCCTTCAATATGACTAACAAAACTCATATAAATCATATTAATACTTACTCGCTTACAAAAGTCTCCACTTTCATTTTCTTATGTCCTCTGGTCGCAAAGATTGAGCTAAATAACTATACTTTAATTTCAAACAAGCGTATTACAACCAACACCCAATGATACCTACAATTCAAAAGAAGCATTAGTAAATACTTTCATAATCAATAATAGATATAAAAAACTTGATTACTTATTTAAAATGATTTAGATAATATACGAGCTCGGAAGATACAACGACATAAGTATCTAGGGTCGCGATTGATATGCATCAAAGGCTCTGTCTAGATAGCTACGATCTTCATAATGTATTATGTACTGCACGCTCTCCGGACATAAACACCCGATTGTTGTGATACCGTGATCCATAATGTATACATGCAATAATCTTGATTGACAAATAAATAGTAAATACATTTTTAGTAATTAATAAGAATGCACATTGCATGAACTCTCACATAATTAGAACATAATTATATTATGTTTGTATCTAGTTCTTGTCGTACCTTAAGTACACAATGATGATGGTCAGATCGACCTCCTCTAATAGCATGAACTCTTGTATATTCTTAGGTCGCATCCTTAGCTCCGTCTCCTCATGCACTTTGGATTGCGAATAATGCTGATGATAGGCAGGGCAGATGTGCGTGTTCGCCACTGACACAACTCTCTACATTTTAGGCCAAATCATGCGTACATAATCTGGTCAACAACGTCCTATACGGAAGATCTGGGAGGAGCAGTGGGGCAAAATTGCTCAAGGCAACAATGTCCTATGATGACATTTGCTCAAGGCAAAATTGCCCTGGCGGGGCGTGTACACATGGGACTACGAACATATGCAAAAACAAAGACATGTGAAATACCACCAAAATGACGTCAAATGAAAAAAGACAAAATACATTAACCTCTTAACTTTCCAAGGCCCACCAACGACTTTGGCCATGCGACCAAGCTTCCCTCGTAATCAGCTACCGTCTCCATGTGTTCACTCAGACAAGGAATGTTATACTCACCCATACCAGGAAGCACCAAGGTCATAGAGACCTCGACCTGGTGGCGAAGGAGGGGAATAACGTGCACCACATCTCCCGGTGCATGGGAAAAACTAATTCATGTGCCACTAAAAATTTCGCTTGATCGGAAGTCCTCGAGTAACACGCAACAACTTACTAAAAATTAGTAAGAAACTATTAGAAACAAGTAAACAAAAACCTAAATTCTACCTTAAATTATAGTATATATGTACTTCAGTGAGGTCACCGAAGTCAACAACATCTGTGGACGCCTTGCTGCTACGCTTAAGGGTGGGCATTCAGGTCCAAGAATCACAGGTGTGAATCGCACCAGGAAGTTCAAGGCCGGTCAGGTCCGTTTTAATATTTGGAAATTTGAAAATTGTTCGGCCCAGGATGGGTCCTCTAGCTTTCAGGCTCGGTCGAGATCCCAATTTTAAATTTTTCATATCCTCGACACACACCGTTTGTGTTAAGTAAAGTTTAATATTTCATTTATAGGCCCAAATTGTAAATAGTTCACATATTTTTTTATTTTTTGGTTTCCCAATTGAGTAAATTCCTACGGTAAAGCATTTGGGTCCACCAATTAAAATCTAAATTCAGCCATTTAACCCTGCAAATTGCAAATTGCATATGGGTTTTGCTTGTTTTTGTTATACGAGACGAAAACTAAATGACTTAATGAAGATAATGTGTGTTTCGTTGTGGTGGTGACTGGTAGTGGTGAATGGCCATTAATGAATTATTAGTTTATTATCATTGTTTTGTATTTTTAATATTCGGATCATGATATGTTCGGACACATTGACTCGTGGAATCGTCCCATTTCAAATAATCTGGGTTAGGTTCAGTTCAAATTTTAAAATTTTAAAAACTCGTTCCGGCATGGACAATTATAATAAAAAAAGCTGAGTCTGGATTTTAAAAATTGTAGGTCCGAACCAGCTCGTGCCCACCCTAGCTACGCTGCCCATGATGAGGTGCTAGAGGGGGTGTATATTGCAACATGGAACCAAACTCTGCAACACTTTGCTGGGTAGTCATTGATTGTCCAAATAATCATACCACACAACGTGAAACACTTTTGATGATAAACATCAAATACAGTGACACCATGAATCTACATTTCTTCAAGTCATCAATCATTGAGGCTACGAATAAATCAATGTCATTACTTGATTGTTAGTCAGTTTTAGTCGTTGTGCCCACGCCTTAAAGGGGGTGAATAAGGCGTTTGAAAACTTTTCAGAGTTTGATAAAAACGGTGTTGGCAAATGCGGAAGCAATATATAAAACACAAAAATAAAAGCGTAAAGTAAAATACACACCGAATTTATACTGGTTCGGGAACTCCCTACTCCAGTACCTTGAGGCTCCTCCTTAAGGATTTTCGAATCCACTAAGTTCTGGTCTCTTGAACTCTGTCAAAGCACGCACTAGTTTGGCAAACAACCCTTGCCAATAGGATTCACTCCGAGATTTCACAAGGGCTATCTCAAACCGTTTACAACGAAGATTTAACGACTATCTTCAACCATTCTCCCAAGGATTTCAAAGGCTATCCTTGAACCTTTACCCAAGGATTTATACGACTATCCTTAACTGTTTCAACGTGAGAATTTAACGGCTATTCTCGACCGTAAGAAGTTATGTTTGAAGAACACAAACAATGATTCTATACAACGGCTAGAATATAAAAATGAAGAACAAAACTTAGCCGGTGTAGAAGGAAATTATACTCTCTCAAAAATACAATATAAACTTATGAATATGAGAGTATATAACTAGAAACACAAGCTCAAAGTGTGTGTATAAAAATCAGGAATTTAAGGCTCTTGAAATAGCCAAAATATTGAAAATAATGAATAAAAGAGTAAACACACTTAGAATATAAATGGAGGATGTTTGGAGCTTTGTTTTTTGAAGAAATATGAAGTATTAGGCTTGTATTTATAGTGGGAAAGGTTAATTAGCCGTTGGGAGGTGATTCGGATTGATTAAAGTCAAAATCACAAATCAGGAACAGTAACCCAACGGTCACGGTAGGTCGGTACCGTCCTCACGGTAGCAAGGTACTGTGCGTACGGTAGGGAGTACCGTGTGTGGCGGTACCTGGGTACCGTGTCACAAAGCAAACCAATCAGGCTCTGGCGGTACCTGTCCTCTAACGGTACGGGGGTACCGTGCCGGCGGTATAAGGTACCGTACCACTATCATGCATTTTAAAAATTCCCTTAATCCTTCGTGTTTGAGTTTAAAACCTTTTAGATATTTGAAAATGTTTATGAGATGGTTTTAAACATATTTTGTGAGTGCTTTTGAGCTTGTGAATATAGGTATATAAAGTCAGATCCTTACATTGGTTTCTACCTATATTCTATGCTAGTTTAATGTTTCAACTTCATTCTTGAGTACCGAATCTTAATGGATTCTTGTTTTACCTTGAACATTTAAACGAACATTAAGCTCTTATATTGTTTGTTAACATCAAAACACGAGGCTAAGCAAACCAAGGCTAACACTGATTGTTTAGACCCAGATATTAACAATGATAACATGATATACTTGCACTTCATGCACAACTCTAGAGGGAGATTGTAAATGACAAGCAATACCGGGCAAGTACTATGTTGCGTACTCAAGCTTCCAAAAGGATTGATCTCATTAGTACACAATGTCAATCGAAGGTTCCTCCCCTTGTTCCAAAATTCGAGAAATGTGTAGTCTATCGTCTTCCACTGTGGGACATCAATAGGATGACGAAGGGTGCCATTGTCTTTGCGCTGCTCTGTGTACCACACTAGATTCTTTGTATCTTTAATTGAAGCAAACAAGTGCTTGAACCTTGGTATTATTGGAAGGTACCACAAAACCTTAACCAGAGTCTTTTTGATAGTTTTCGTAATGTGTGCCTTTGGTCAACTCCTTGTATCTTGGAGCAAAACACTTGGGAAATTCGTTTAGACCCTCGTACTCATTTCGGTACAAAATGCAATCATTAACACAAGAATGTATCTTCTTGTACCCCTCCCCCATTAGAGACATCATTTTCTTCATCTCATAAGTGGATGATGGCAGTTCGTGTCCATCTAGAAGTTCACCCAACAAACCTAACAAGGACGTGGAGCTCTTATCACTCCACCTGTTCGCTACTTTTAAATTGAACAATGCCAAAACCCCTTTCAAACGTGTAAACTTTGTACAACCATGATACAACAACCAATTTTAGTTCCCTACTAAACTCTCATACAGATTACGCTCTTTACTGATGACATCTTGATCAAGACGAACATCTTGAGTACACCCTAACTCATCTTCCCTGGATATCGTCAATATCGTCTTCTACTTGTTCGTTATAAGTATAGCTAGAGCTATCAATATTTTCTAACTCTTCATGCCATTTCCATTACTTGTATGTTGGGTCGAAACCCTTGCGATACACATGGGATCTTATATCCTTAATATTATCAACCATAAAATGGTTATGACATAAGTTACAAGGGGCAAGGGCAATATATCTTTCTCCCCTCTTTTCCCCCTCTTTTGAATGTTTCCCTACGAAACGAACAAACTCCTCCAAACTAGAACCAAATTAAATTTAGGTGATGTACGACGCATATCAATCTAACTTCGATCCATCATATGAATTACTAGACAACAAATGAACAACGACAAAGGATTGGATACAAAACAATGCACAAAATAATTAACACTCATTTCATATATATACACATACATATAACAAATATAGGCAACACAATATTTCATTTCTTATGATATAACAAAAATCTAGTGGCATTTCTTCATTATAAATGGTCATTCTTTACACGGAAAAATTAATGCATTTCATTTTCTTTGATACAAAACAATGCACAAAATCCTCACTAGTAAATGCATTTCATTTTCTTTGATCTATCAAAATTTAATTTTCTTTGATCTATATTACATCAAAATAAATGCTAATAATAATAATCATGATAGAATTATTGCATGGAAAACTCTCGTTGCCGCGGTGGTGCTTCTCGAGTCCTGTGGCTTCGGCGAATAGGAACTGGGCTGGGCACCTCGCGGTCCGTAACACCCGTTTATATTCATTTCAACCCGCTTCTATCATTATCTTTGCCAAATTAAAATATGAGATTTGAAATGAATTTTAGTTCCCAAATATGACCTTAAAGAAATAAGTGTTAATGTTTAATCCCTTAAAAGTTTTAGTGTTACCTTAACTCCTTTTTAAACATAAATAAATTTTATAAAACCCTTTCAGCAAGTATAAAACTAATTATGAACTCTATATATTAAAAATATACGGAGTACATACTTTAAATTGGTGAAATGCATATTAGTATAATATTTTGAAAATAAAGTGTTTCTATGATCTTCACTTTATTTAGTTTAATTAGAATATAACTTTTAATCTGTATTTCAAAAAAGATAAATGATCTTATAGTGAAAACTTATTTATACTATATATGACATATATTATATTATTATATCATTATTATAATTTTAAAAGCAATAAAATTATATATATATATATATATATATATATATATATATATATATATATAGAATATCCAAGTGTTAGATTGTATAGGAGTATATGCGAAACAATGAGTTAACATAAATAGTTTTTCTCTTTGTCCTAATTAGATTATCATCACAGTTATTATCAAAGTTTCTCGATAAATTTTGTTTGTTTGCACATTTTTATTGACCAATTGCCAAAATGAAATATAGTTGTAACTACTCTAGAGTATAAGCTTTAGTATTGTTTTTGAGTATATATAATATATGCTTTTAATTTGTTTATCAATTTGTAAACAAAATGATTTTAAAAAATATGAGATTTTATATGCTAATTGAAGTTAGACGACGACTTTAAAATAGAAGAAATGTTGTTTTAAGGTACTTTGATGTTAAAATATGATGAAAACATTTTATTGATAAAAGTAGGAGAACATGGAGAGATTGTATGGGAGGGATATAACAGATAATTAATGTAGCCAAACAGCCGACCGTATATAGCCAATTGCAAATAGTGTAGTGGATGAGTTTTTCACTAGAAGGGCAATATTTTCATTTAAGAAAAAAGTGGAGCGCCGTTAGCCATAGTTGGAGAGCGTATATCAATTGCCATTAGAAAATGTTAGAAGAATTAAAATGTTTAAAAAGTCAATCAATTAAATGACCACCTAAATAAATATGTAAGAGAACTTTAATTCTGGATAAAAAGAATTCATCATTGTCTATATATGAAGCGATATTTTATAAACTTAGATATATTATTTTAGTATATTGTCATAAATAAATACTACTCCCTCTGTCTCAATTTAAATTGCATGTTTGCCTTTTTCTCCGTCCCAAGATAAAATACCTAAACTACCCTTAAAATAAGTCACTCTTCTTCATCTTATCTTCTGATTTATAGTCACCCCTTCTAAAATGTA